ATAAAGCAGTGGTATTATTAAGTAGGACTCTTTTAACATGATTCGTTTCTGGTTACCTAATTTGAAAATTATTTCTTAGAAAAGTCATTAGTCAAATTGTTGGAGATAATTAGTACGTTTTGGATTTTTTCATACTCACGGGAAATCGCATTATCATCAATCGTTTAACCACTTCCCTAGATGAAACCTAAATTCCATCACCTGATTTTCTGGACTCGGTTAAATATCCTATAATATATTGACGGATTTGCCCCTATCAAAGATAACTTCATATTTTAAAATTTAAATATTATTTTCTTATTTTATTTATTTCGACTAAGAGTTTTTATCTTTCTTATTGTTTGGTTTTTTTTTTTTTTTTCTATCATCAACTATTATTCTGATAGTTTAGTATGTAGTCTTTTTGTGCTAATGGTTTAACTGTGACTCATAGTATGTTGTCTTCATATCATCGTGTCCACGTGAAACTTGCATGCTTGTTTTAGAATGATCCATAACTTTATAATTAAATCCAACAAAACTTATTACAGACTTTAGATAAAACGTTGGATCATGTCATGATTTAATATTAATTAACTGCAGGAGAAAATCCCTATTGAAGAAGTGTTCCAGCAGTTGAAATGCAGCAGAGATGGACTCTCTGGAGCAGAAGGAGAGAGCAGACTCCAGCTCTTTGGTCCCAACAAACTCGAGGAGAAGAAGGTATAACACTAAACCTTTTATATGTAGTTTTTGGCTTAACAAACATAATTGAAAGTGACTAATCTCATTAAAAAAAAACAGGAAAGCAAGATACTTAAGTTCTTGGGGTTTATGTGGAACCCTCTCTCTTGGGTGATGGAAGCAGCTGCAATCATGGCTATTGCCTTGGCTAATGGAGATGGACGTCCACCTGATTGGCAAGACTTTGTTGGTATTGTTTGTCTTTTGGTTATTAACTCAACCATCAGTTTTTGGGAAGAAAACAATGCTGGTAATGCTGCTGCTGCTCTCATGGCTGGTCTTGCTCCCAAAACTAAGGTTCCCTTTCAACCACTAGTTTTATTCTTCTGCAAGTAACAGTACAATGTTTTTTTTTTTGTATTAACACTATTTCCACTAGATTTCTTGTTCTGCAAGTAACAATACAATGTTTGTTTTTGTATTAACAGTATTTGTTTTCTCATGGCAGGTTCTAAGAGATGGCAAATGGAGTGAGCAAGAAGCTTCAATTCTTGTCCCTGGAGATATCGTGAGCATCAAGCTAGGTGACATCATTCCAGCTGATGCACGTCTCCTTGAAGGAGATGCTTTAAAAGTTGACCAATCTGCTCTAACCGGTGAGTCCCTCCCAGCTACAAAAGGTCCAGGAGAAGAAGTTTTCTCCGGTTCCACTTGCAAGCAAGGTGAGATTGAAGCTGTTGTGATAGCCACTGGTGTCCACACCTTCTTTGGCAAAGCAGCTCATCTCGTTGACAGCACAAACCAAGTGGGACACTTCCAGAAAGTCCTTACCGCAATAGGAAACTTCTGCATCATTTCCATTGCGGTTGGTATAGTGATTGAGATCATTGTCATGTACCCTATCCAGCGCAGAAAGTACAGAGACGGTATCGATAATCTCCTGGTGCTTTTGATTGGTGGGATCCCTATTGCAATGCCTACTGTTTTGTCTGTGACGATGGCCATTGGTTCCCACAAGTTGTCTGAACAAGGAGCTATCACTAAACGTATGACTGCCATTGAAGAGATGGCTGGTATGGATGTTCTGTGCAGTGATAAGACCGGGACGTTGACGCTAAACAAGCTTAGTGTTGACAAGAATCTGATTGAGGTTTGTGCAAGAGGCGTTGAGAAAGAAGAAGTGTTGCTTTATGCTGCAAGAGCATCACGAACAGAGAATCAAGATGCTATTGATGCTGCTATGGTTGGAATGCTTGCTGATCCTAAAGAGGCAAGAGCTGGTATTAGAGAGATTCACTTCTTCCCATTCAATCCAGTAGACAAAAGAACAGCACTAACATACATTGATAGTAATGGAGACTGGCACCGTGTTAGCAAAGGAGCTCCAGAGCAGGTACACTTCCCAAGTTTTAATTTCTTTCTCTTTAATGACTTAACCTTTAAACATGTTTCTTTTAATGTTTATTTTCAGATTCTTGATCTGTGCAATGCAAGAGCTGATCTGAGGAAGAGAGTCCACTCAGCGATTGATAAGTATGCTGAGCGTGGACTTAGGTCATTAGCTGTTGCAAGACAGACAGTACCTGAGAAGACCAAAGAAAGCCCTGGTGGTCCATGGGAGTTCGTTGGTGTGTTGCCTTTGTTTGATCCTCCAAGACATGATAGTGCAGACACCATTAGAAGAGCTTTAGACCTTGGTGTTAACGTCAAGATGATCACTGGTGATCAACTTGCTATTGCTAAAGAGACTGGACGCAGGCTAGGGATGGGATCAAACATGTACCCATCAGCATCTCTACTTGGTAACCACAAAGATGAAAACCTAGCTGCTATACCCGTTGAGCAGTTGATTGAGAAGGCTGATGGCTTTGCTGGAGTCTTCCCAGGTTAGTTAATTAACAAGAGTTTTGTTTTTTTTTGTTCTCTTTCATTCTGTTTACAATATGTTTTTTTTTTTTGACAGAACACAAGTATGAGATTGTGAAGAAGTTGCAAGAGTTGAAGCATATTTGTGGAATGACTGGTGATGGTGTCAACGATGCTCCTGCTTTGAAGAGAGCTGATATTGGTATAGCTGTTGCTGATGCTACAGACGCTGCACGTGGAGCTTCTGATATTGTTCTAACCGAGCCTGGTCTCAGTGTTATCATCAGTGCTGTCTTAACCAGTAGAGCTATCTTCCAAAGAATGAAGAACTACACTGTGAGTGTGTTTTGCTTCTCTTTTAGCTAATTATTTTTCTAAACTAATCTCTCACTTTGTTTTGTAACAGATTTATGCAGTCTCAATCACCATCCGTATAGTGGTAAGTAACTAAACTTGCATCTATTCTTGAATATTAAATCAAATATTCTTTGTGTTTAATGGTCTCTCTTTGTATCTTTTATACAGTTTGGGTTCATGCTCATTGCTTTGATATGGAAGTTCGATTTTTCGCCATTCATGGTTTTGATCATTGCCATCTTAAACGATGGAACAATCATGACAATCTCAAAGGACAAAGTGGTGCCTTCTCCTACACCAGATAGCTGGAAACTCAAAGAGATCTTTGCAACCGGCATTGTCCTTGGAGGCTACATGGCTATAGTGACTGTTGTTTTCTTTTGGGCTGCTTACAGAACTGACTTCTTCCCGGTATAATATTCTACTACCATTTAAAAACACTCTCTATGTCTCTCTCTCAAATCACACAAGCATAACTCTGTTTTGTTTTCTTGTAGAGAACATTCCATGTGAGAGACTTGAGAGGCAATGAACATGAGATGATGTCTGCTTTGTACTTACAAGTCAGTATAGTGAGCCAAGCTCTTATCTTCGTGACTAGATCAAGAGGCTGGTCTTTCCTTGAACGACCTGGATGGCTCTTGCTTATTGCCTTTTGGATTGCACAAGCGGTAATGTTTGCTAGAATGCTTCTGTTTCTGCTTCTTGATTCATAAACTTGTCTCCTCACTGATTTCATATACTTTGGTCTTGTAGATTGCAACTGGTGTTGCTGTTTTCGCAAATTGGGAGTTTGCTAGAATCAAAGGAATAGGGCTTGGATGGGCTGGGGTTATCTGGCTTTACAGTATTGTCTTTTACATTCCATTAGACGTGCTTAAGTTTGCAATACGTTACATACTAGCTGGAACCGCATGGAACAATCTCATTGACAACAAGGTATGTTTTCATATCTTAGTTACTTGTTTACTACGTTATTCTTGTTCTAATATATGTTCTTAGACCAAAGCAATCTTTTTTTTTGTCTTAAGACTGCGTTTACGACAAAGCAAAACTTTGGGATTGAGGAGAGAGAGGCCCAATGGGCTCTAGCACAGAGGACTTCACACGGTCTTCAGAATCAAGAAACGGCTAATGTTTTCCCTGAGAAAGGTGGCTACAGAGAACTGTCTGAGATCGCTGAGCAAGCCAAGAGACGAGCTGAGATCGCAAGGTAATAATTTTAATATTCCCAAGTCTCTAATAACCAAAATAAAATCTGGGGGTTTCTTGTGAGTCAAGCTTAATACTAGGGTTTTTGATGTGTATTGTTTGTTGAAGGCTTAGGGAACTTCATACGCTTAAAGGGCATGTAGAGTCAGTGGTGAAGCTCAAGGGACTTGACATTGAGACAGCTGGTCACTACACCGTTTAATAACAAGATGGACTCAAAGAAAAAATGATCAAGGAAGGAAGAAGATCGTTTGTTTAACGGATGATAATGATGATAATATCATAAGATGAGAGGGAATAAAGTCTTGTTTTAGGTTATGTTTTTGTGTTTAAAATTCCTCTAAACTCTTGGGCTTTTTTTTTTCTTCTTCCTTGATTTTAGACTTAATTATAATTGTGTTTTCAGTTTGCTCTGTGTTGGAGACAAAAGATAAGATAATATAATAATTTCCTAGGTTTATACAGTTTTGTTTGTCTTTAGACATACATAATATGAATATAACAAAATTACAAATTTACTGACCTAAAAAATTGCTTAAAATTTAAAAAAAAAAAAAAGATTTTTCTTATTATTTTCTTATCCTCATTTTGTATACTAAGTGTTCTGAATTTTTACACGATTGCATGGAATCTCTAAAGTGAACAGCATCTATGAAAAAAAAGAAGAAGCAAGCAAAATAAACGAATAGAATACCATTCTCATATTTATATTGGTCCAAGAGAATATCGGGATCCGGTTCGATTACTTCTTCAGACCGGTTAAATATACATAACCGGATATCATAATCCGTTGTGGATACTGGATACATGTGTTCTTGTTTAGACCACTACTTGTACTCCACGTGGCAACCGCTTTATCACAAAGCCAGAAGCTAGAAAAGAAAAGAAAAACAAGAAGACGTGAAAGATCCTTCAGAACAGAACTCAGAACAGAGAGACAACAACAAGAAATGTATTTCGCAGCGATAGCTTCTTCACAACAGAGCTTTTTGTCGGACTCTTTCAGTTTCCGACACAGTTTCAAACCTAGACACAGTTATAAGCTTACTCGTCCCAACTCAATCTGTTGCAAATCTCCAAACCACGACGACGATGAAACAGATTCTTCCCGGTAGTTTTATTTATCTTTATTCTTTAAAAGACTTGTTCTCTCTTATGTCGACTTTGCTCTTATTCCATCAATATATTTTTGTTTAATTATTTATTTAGCAAAAATGAGAATCAGCTTGCGAAATTGGCAATCGTGACGTTAGCGGTTGGCGTTTTGGCTTTGGGATCGGTTGGAGATGCGTCTGCGGCTAAAAGCGGTGGGAGAATCGGTGGTCAAGCGTTTCGGTCTTCAGCTCCTCGGCCTCCTCCTAGAATTAACAACCGATCGAGGTAATTATCACTTTTTACTTGGCTCTTTTTTTATTTAACTATTTAACATTCTTGAAATCCTAGTAGTAATAAATAAATAAAAAATCGTTGATAAAAAAAGAATAATAAAAAAAAATCCAAATATAAGAGGATTCCGGAATGGGCCTCATATCCACATTATAGCCCGTTAATACTAAACTGTAAGGCCCTTGTGGTTTGCACACTTTGACAGTTTAAACCAAATATTACAATCCAACGACCAAGAGTAATCTCCAAAGAAACTCACAAGTTTTAGCTTTACAAGTCAAATTTACACGTTAACTATACACAAAAACAAAGCATAATAAAATGTTATACTGAGAATTGTATGATTTGTTAATTTTTTTGTAAATGTAAATGCAAATACAAACATAAACACAATCACAAAAGTTGAGTAGAGTTCCTTTATATTCTTAACGCAGTTTTCTCTTCGCAGGACCAACATCTACGTGAATCCTCAGGTTGCACCACCTTTGATCGGTGGCTACGGATATGGTGGATACGGCGGTTGGGGATGGTCACCGTTTTCCTACTTTGCCCCTGGTCCTGCGGTGGCTGTTGGTGGGGGTGGTGGCTTGGACCTCCTCGTTCTCTTCATGTTTTTTGGAGCTGCTTCAGCCGTGGCAAGAAACTTTTTCCGGTCAAGAAATGAAGAAGACGAAGATGACTACTAGCTAGGGCTGCTGGGCTGGATAAATATATTAAAAAAAAGAGGCATGTGTATATGTGTTATTATAACATAGTCAATATACGATTTTGTGTTAAAAGTTATGATGGAAAAGACGGTTTCTATACCTTGAGATTAATAACTAAGATCAATCAAAAAACGTATAGCTAAACTCAAATTGAAACATCCTCAAAGTTTCAAATTAAACATTTTCTGTTTTTTTTTTTTTTGTTGTTGTTGTTGTTGTCGTTGAAACTTTATATTTGAAGTTCTATCCTTCTTGATAATCATCTCACTGAGCTCCAAACGCAGGTACGTAAATTTCATTTAAAGAAAGAAATATACAGAAAACAAAATATTTAATGGTTTATTTTGTAATGGTCTATCGGTATTAACTTAGAAACATAATAAGAGCTAATACTTAAGTCAGTACATCTGGTAAATAATAATAGTAGTAATATATCAGATACAAAAGAAACAAAAAGAGAAATTGAAAGAGTCAGTGAATTAACAAAAATCATGAAGTTCGATTAATACTAAGTCCTTGAAAAAGCCAGTGAGGTCGCTTCTTCTCTCGATCCAACGACAACGTTTTTGAGCTTCTCATAGGCGTGTTTGGTCCACTACTTTCTTGGTTATTACTGTTATTGTTATTATTGCTCTGGTTATTACAATTATCAGATGATGATCTAAACGACGTTGTCGACGAGTAGTCCATATCCTTGTTCGTAGATGAAGAAGACATTCCAATGCTCAATGTCAGTTCTAGTTCGCTCTCTTCAATATATTCCGTCGTTGTGTTCGTGCCTCTAACCTCATTTTCGAGGTCTATGCCTGGCCAGGTTCCGGTTCTCTCTTTTGGACCGCTTTGGTCTTTGTTGTTGATAGTACAACTTTGGCTCCTATGTTTCAGCTGGTTCATCATCATTTTCTGTATATTATATACTCTATGTAGCTCTCGCACCTGCGATAATTATTCTGTTTTATATATATGGTTTATCTTAAAACAAAATTAGAACAATCAATCCAATCCAAATCAAACAGAAGTTTTGAGCATAAAATAGTATAACTTAGTTGGAACTAAAAGAAAAAAGAAAAATTAATCTGAGTAGATATATTACATACATATATTGAACTTGTCCAACCCAATATGAGTATATAAATTCGTTTGTATCTAAAGACTATCCTTTTTAATATCCAAAAAGCTATAAAGTTGATTAATGGAAACCGAAAAGGGAAACTAAACTACATTAATAAATAGAAATCGAGTTTGAATCACTCCAGGCAATTACTTCAACAAAACTGAAAAAAACTGATGTTTTAAACCAAAACTGAACAGAAACAAGACTAAAAAATCAAACCCAAATATATGCTACATATGCAGGTGTTAGTATATATCTGTATACGTACCTGTTGCTTGAAAACATCTTCTTGGGTTTGCATTGTATGTCTGATCGATCCAGCTTTTTGCCTTTCAAGAGATCTATCCATTGACCTTATAACAAAATCTCCTTCCTCCTCTTTGTTGTCTGTCAACGTCTCCTTTGAAGATTTTCGTTGACCATTAACACCAAATCTGATAAATCCAGTACGATCAACAGTCTTTAACCCAAATGAGTTTGTCGTAACTGGCTCAACAATCTTTGTTCCCATGCCTGAAACGTAGAGTCACACACTTCATAACCATTTGATGATTGATAGAACACATACCAAATAAAGAATCCTAATTTCAAAGAAAGAAAGAACCCACCAATAAGATAACATTACAGAATTTTTTTAACAAAAATTCATAACCACTGCAAAAATATCTAGATTGTTTCTTATGTAGTAAACGATTCAAAATTATTATTTCTATAATTAAATGGGTTTACTAATGATAGAAACTAGTACCATAATATCATTTTCACTACTAAAGTTTAAAATAGATAGATTTGACTCGTAAACTGCAATAAGTATAAAATCTGTGGTGAAGAATTGCAAAGGACAATGAAAAAGAGCAGTTGTTGATTTTTTTTAGTTGCTTTTGGATAAACATGATTTATATAGAAAATACGAGAAATTAAGAATCGTTAAGCGAAAATAGATTGATAAACACTACTCGAGCAGTCAGTTTAAAGTCAAAGAATATTTTTTTATTATTTCATCCGTTTCAAAATATCTATATTCTAGAAAAATATGTTCCAAAAATATATTTTTAATGCGTTCATTAATCATAAAGTATAAACTTCAAAAATATAATTAATTTCTTAAAATTATTAACTAAAAGTTATAGAGCATTGTTAATTACAGAAAATAATATATTGATAACTTAAATTTGATATATTTTTTAATAAGTATAAAATACTAATATATAAAATATTTTGAACTAGAGGAAGTAGTATAATAAATTGATGATGATGCAAATATTGCCTACTTTCTATTAAAAAGAATATATATATGTGTATATAGTCTATAAATCTGTCACATCGTTCATAATGCTCTTGCATTCTTTTTTTTAATAGCCACCCATTTACACTAGACCAAATTCTGATACTTATTTCCTTCAATGTTTAAAAAATTGTCTACACACAAATCATATAAATAAATAACTTAATTATGACTCATGTACTTACATCTCTGATCATCTATATACAGACGCGCATGGACATAAAAGACATGAGAAAATCATGTCTGCATCTATATTTGAGGGAACCAAATTAGATATTAATCGCATAAGACAAGGACGATAATTTCGTTAAAAGATAACGTTTATTAAGTTCAAGTGTTCGAGGATAACGTTTATACTTTATACACATGTGATATATATGTATATTTCCTCAAAAATACCTGTTTCGCTATTAACATTTGATTATTGTTAACATAGTTCAAAAAAAAATTGATTATTAACAATACTATTCACAGAGGTCTTGAAATTTAAAACAAACTTAAAGCCAATAATTTGTGACTTTCTTTCTCTTACAAGTTACACATACATACACATACATATAGTTGTATTATATAAGTGTGCAGAAAGTACCACTTTTATACAGATCTGTTCCATTGTAAAACTCACACACATATGTTTAGCAACCCTTTCTACAAATAGTTCGTCGCCTGTATCGATCCGTAAGAGATCCACCGAAATGAAAATCTTACATATATATACTCTATTAAGTTACCAAAAAGTTACCTGAAAAAAAGAGTGGCCAAGCTGTGATTCTCTGCAAAGAAGGTCATTGCTCACATGCCGCATGTTCTAAGCTCATGCCACAAAACTCACTTAGAGAAGCCCTTCAAGACTCACTGCACTGCACTTACATAACATAATAAGTAATCCAGAATCTGAGAGATCACTTTTAAGATTTTGTCAAATCAATATAAAGCGTGTGGAAGGAGAGATAGGGATATAGAAAGAGGAGGGTAGAGAGAAGATGGAATAATGGGAACTGGCAGCTAAGGAAATGCTTTAATTGAAATAAGGATTAATAAACAGATGCTAATATATTGTACTGGAAGTTAAATAGCTTGACAGGCTGTGATGTTTGTGAAGGAGGCAAGGAAAAGGCTGAGAGTTTTTTTACCAAAAAAAAAGCAGAGATTTTCCATATTTTTTTTATTAGAGATTTTTCATATGCTTTTACTTGCTTAGCTTTCATCAACAGCACAAGAAATAAACTACTTTCTTAATCACAAATATTGTGGATTTACTAGTATTCACTATTTAGTCTCTAACTTGAGACTTGAGAGTCATTTATTCTTTCCGAGAAGATGATTTTTGTTTTGATTAATTTAGATATCACAATATAAAAAATATATTGGAAGTAATGTTCACCATGTTGTATATATTCTTAACCTAAAGATGATAAAAATTTGATGTCCAAGAATATACATATATTAATTCTTACTGATAAAATATAGAATCCTAAGTCTTATGAAACTGAAAGTATATTCTGTAATTATGTGTATATCATTTTCTTGCAAGCGGCGGTATGAAATAATTAGTTGTGTTGATATAATATAAAACTGAGAGATTTACAATAATAAACCAAAATATGCTATGTTCTAGCCAATATATTCCTGACAAGTTCTCAGTGGACATAATCAAGATATGTATGTAACCATATACAAACTAAAATACAAAAAAAAAAATATTATTATAACAACCAATTTGAAGACATAGCTTCCGTTTTCTGTAGTAGTTTTAAAAATAAAATGACTCCACGTCATATTATCAATATAAATGTCTTCATCATCCGTACGGGGTATTATCCAACCATACAAAACCCCATGATTGTCATTTCTAATCTGACATCAAGTGTGTTAAAAAAAAAAAATCTGACATCAAGTTTAATGAAAGATTTCCTCTTATATTTAATCACTTATCAATGAGATAATAACTTTTCAATTTTTGTTTCCCTGTGCTGAGTTTATAAATTTCATTTTGGATACATATGAATACTTTTTGTAATGAAATAAAGATAGAAAATATTTTTCTGAAATGAAATAATTTTTTTTTTTTTTTGGTCAAAAAATGAAATAAAAATATATAATTGATGTTTAATTAGGAGCTTCTATCAACCCTAGATTCATATAAAATTGTCGGGGACAAGTGCTTATAGGCTGACCTACCTACCGTCCGAATAATATTCCTAAAGAACTAATGCATAAATTTCATTTGAATTAAGACTATTTTGTTTGTTGATGACACCGAATATGTTTAGGGTGGTGATAACTTTGCTTCAAACGTCTATAAAACATGTTAAAATATTGTAATAACTGCTAGCAACATCTTTGTAAACGAAACTTTGGTATTAATCTTCTTTTTATCCCATAGAATGTTATGAATAGTGTAACTACATTATTATTTTTTACTAGTTGCATATTCCCCGCGCAAGTGCGGAGCCGGAATCATTATGTTTGCGTATATTTTTTTCGATTTAGTGGTTTAGTGGATTCTTCTAATGACACCAAATAGCAATGAAAGGGAAAAAATGTAGTAAGAGTGTAAAGTGAAAATATTGTATATCTAATGTGTTAAATGTTATTTATATGTGAAGTAAGGTTTATAGGAACAGTTAGGTTATAATATAGTTTTTAGTGTCTAAAAGTAGGTGTCTATTTTTTTTTTTTGTTGTAAATAGTTTTTATATCGTATGTCAAAACTTGATATAATTCTATATTTATAGTATTTATATTTGTATTAAACGATTTATCAATTTAAAAATAACCTTAATTAAGTTAATATTCGTTGTTTAAGTTTCATTAGATATGTTTTTATATATGGTTTTTTGTAAGTTTGGGTTTTGTTCATAAATGATGGGGCATTTTTATCTACGGCGTCATCGAGGAATCCATTCGCCGAAGTCTAGAGTCGGTGGTGAGGAATGTTTTCAATGAAATTATAGTAGTTATTAAAATGTAAGAGAAATTACATATTCATTTAATAAATAACGAAAAATACTTAAATTTTGTTGNTCATAAATGATGGGGCATTTTTATCTACGGCGTCATCGAGGAATCCATTCGCCGAAGTCTAGAGTCGGTGGTGAGGAATGTTTTCAATGAAATTATAGTAGTTATTAAAATGTAAGAGAAATTACATATTCATTTAATAAATAACGAAAAATACTTAAATTTTGTTGTTTATTTTATTTTATTTCACATACAATTTTTTTGAAAATATATTAGGAATGAGTTAAATGTTATTTATATGCGAAGTAAGTTTATAGGAATAGTTAGGCTATAATATAGTTTTTAGTGTGTAAAAGTAGGTGTTTTGTTTTTGCTGTAAATAGTTTTTATATCGTAGGTCAAAACTTGATATAATTCTATATTTATAGTATTTATATTTGTATTAAACGATTTATCAATTTGAAATAACCTTAATTAAGTTAACATTCGTTGTTTAAGTTTCATTAGTTAGGTTTTTATATATGTTTTTTTTTGTAAGTTTGAGTTTTGTTCATAAATGATGTGGCATTTTTATTTACGGCGTCATCGACTGTGGGAATCCATTCGCCAGAGTCTGAAATCGGTGGTGAGGAATGTTTTCAATGAAATTATAGTAGTTATTAAAATGTAAGAGAAATTACATATTCATTAAATAAATAACGAAAATAATTAATTTTTGTTGTTTTTTATTTTATCTCACATACAAATTTTTTGAAAATATATATTAGGAAATATGTGCAATGATTTCACTTTTTGAGCTCTTAATCTATATTATTCAAGTCTCATTAAGCCATCCACGTAGGTAGCCGCGTGGGATTCACTTCTTCTTTTTTTGGTCGGTTCGTTTTTGGATTCATTTTTTATTATTTTTGGGTTGAACTATATTATAATAGGATAGTTTTAAGGCTCTTTAAGCCATCCGCGCGAGACTTGTTTTTTTTGTTTTTTTATTGTTCGGTTTTGCATCCATTTTTAACTATTTTTATTTTGAACTCGTTACGTTTTAGGGTTTATCCAACTATTTTGATCTTTAAAACAATAACTCATAGAAAAAACATAAAAACCTTACAAAAAAAAAAAAACCATATGATAATAACTCAAATAAAAAAATAAAAAATAAATGATGGCTGCGTGGTTTGAACCCACGATCTTGCATTCTTAATTAGACACCTTATACCACTTGGCTAAAGTGTATTTCATTGTTTGTAATCATCTTATCAAGACTATTAGTTTTTAAAAAATACCTATGGGACCTACAAAACTGCTGACGTGGCGCGTTGTGGAGCCTAGAAAGTGTACTATTATAATATAGATTATTGGAAATGATTTGGTAAATTTCAACCGGTGAATAATCGATGAAGTCTTTGTTTATCAGTTATTTATCTAAACTGGTTATAAGTAAATGAATATACATATGATCGAGTGATAATAAACTTATATACAAAATGATTGTTGTCAAAAAATAAAAATAAAAAAAAATACAAAATGATTCACTGTGTTTTGTTTTAAATATGCACAATGAAAAAGAGGGACTATAACAAAACCATATAATTAGAATTTAAGCTTCTCCATAAGACTCCAGATTAAACAACCCATCAAAGAATAGAAAAGAAAATTTACCAACACATGATTATAGTGGCATTTAAAGTTTAATATATAATATATAAATGATATAGTTATTTTAATATGGCTTGTCTTATAGTGTTTTCATTTGCTCCTCCTCTCAAACAAATTTACTGCTAACATGGTTTTTGTTTCCAGTTCAGGAAAAAGAAAAGAAATCTACTGCTGAGCTGGGCTTTGATTAAGCACCGACTTATCGTGATTATTTTTGAAGTAGTATACTTCAATATCATAATAATAATGATTATTACTCATTAGTTAATTACTTAGACATATTGTATGTGAGTTATTTTGGAGTTCATAGATCTAGCTGAGCTTCCAAGTTTCAACTAATTGCCGGTGCATTAAGAAACACATCTCATCGTGTTTTGCCGTTAGCCTGTTACCATCCTTGAATCCAGATCCCAAATGAGTACTGTATCCCAATAATATAAAATTCAACGTTTAATATATAATTACAAGATTTGTAATAGAAAAATAAAATGATTCCTTTCGCGGATGCATGCGTATAATTTCAATAAACAATTTGATGTGATTATTGTAGAGTAAAAGAGCTATCTGGATTAGCGGAACCATGTGAGACGAGAAGCTTAGAGGAAACCAACTCATACTATATATAAGAGCATTTCCAAATGGTATTTTATAGAGTAAAAGCCACTTTAATAGTATACTGTTCGTATACATTTTTAAAAATGATAATTTTTATTTATATGATCCTTTATTTTTGTATGTTTTCATTTTCTGCCAAATATAATATATAACATAACTTTTCACATTTAAATACTATGTTTAGTATATTATTTGTTTCAACTATGTGTTTTAATAAAATTTTAAAATAATCATTTTGATAGTATACTGTTATAAATAAATGAAAGGGTATAATTTATATAAATTTAAAAAGTTTTAAATTTTTAATGTATATGTGTTGATCAATTCATGAAATTGGATATTATTTTATAGTTTGAATCTATTTTGAATTAATTTTAATTAAATTTGACTTTAGTCTTGAATACAAAAAGAAAAAGACTTGTTACATGAAGAAATTTATCCAATCCTATCTTAAATCATATAAATTACATATGCTATTGGCCATTGTAAAACTTTCTCGTACTTTTTTTTATCTCCTTTAAAGTTTAGATGATTTTTTCTTTTGAAACTTTGTTAAACCACTTATTTTCCCTCTACCTAACACAATTTGTTTGTATACGTGAAATTAATGAAAAATAAACTAAAGATAATCAAAGAGTAGACATGTGTGTTATCTAAATATGAATAATATTATTTCCATCGTAATATGAATTAATTCTTATTGTTGTTATACCTAAGCAATCAGCTATTGATATATAGCAAGAATCCAACCGAGAAATCATTCAATATTTTAATTTAAAATAGCACACAAAATGCATCTCTTTAAAAGTATCATTTAATATATGAATTCAGTCAATTACAAAACATCTACATAATTTAATTGGTTACATAATATCCAATAAATGCAGAAGTTTCATTGTAATGTTAAAACTATTTCTATTTTAAAAATAAAGTCTTCTAAAACTATTAACTACACTCCCATGGTTTTCAGAATCTCTTTTATATTCTCTCTATTTTATTTTATATGTTGTTTTAGGTTTTTCTACAAATTAAGAAAATCATTAGATTTCATGTTTTGTTCTTAATTCATTAATTATTTTATGTGATTATGTTAATTGATGAGATAAAAAGAATAGTGATTAAAATGAAATTACCAAACAAATGTATTGAAAAACATAAAACAATATTTAAAATAAAATAAATTTTAAACTCTAGAACAAAGCGGAAGAAGTAACTTCTTCATCATTATGATTCATTGATTTGATTGTGAATAATGTAATAAAAGGACATAAAAAAAAACAAAATTAAACTGAAATGACGGCATGAGGAAGCAAATAGAAAGTTAATAGATTTTGGGATTAATAACAAAAAGAATTAGCACGCGTTGTAGTCTTTCTAACCAACGCTGTGGATCCTACTCATACCCACAATAGTGACTACACAAAATTTCGGATAACAATTATATGTAAGAGCATGTCCATTAGTTAGATACCTACAAAGTGCAAAGTAAGTAAAACAACACAATTAATACTATTAAACTGTAATATGTTTATTTGATTAATTTTAATTTATAAAAAAATCAAAGCTAATCAAAGATTACCATATGTAAAGATGAGTATCTTTGAGAGTCTTGATGAGATACTATTTACACTCTTTCTCTCTTTTCTTATTTATTTTTATTAAAATATTGTGGTAAAAATTCCAGTGATATTATCAAAGAAATTACTCTAAAATGACCATAAACAGGATTCTAGCTCTAGAGTTTTTTCTTTTTTGTGAAACAGTTCTAGAGTTCTCAAAATACATATATATTAATATTAATATATTAACTTATTATACTTGCATAAAGATCAAAATGGAGTTCTTATTGAAATAGTATTAGTGTTTAATGTTATTTAGCTAATAATTATATGTTAAGATGTTGATAAATATTAGACCAATTAAAGATAAGTATGTGACTAAGGTTTTTTGGGAAGTTCTCAAATTTTCTTATGAGATACATATTTCTCTATTTATCATACTGTTTGGAATTCTTTTCACTGGTTAGATATTCATAAAGCATGAATCACTAGCATACTATAAAATAAGAATATCGAAAGGTGTTATATTCAGTGAAATTTGGAAAATAGTAAAAGACAACAAATAAATAGTATAGAAATTGTTAAAATCACCACTAATTAAATATCACTTTTAAAAAATAAAAAATATAAACATCTGATTTAAGATTTAGTGATTATTATTTAAGATTTAGTACTAAGGGATTGAAATTGGATTTCTATAAATATTAAAAGTTAACTTAGTATTCTTTTATCACATTTAAAATATTTATGAAAATAGTAATTCATTAATAATAAACTTGAAAAATGATATTAAACTTGTGGATAACTGAAATTTCACATAAATAGTAATATTTGAATTTAAGAGAAAATATTTTTTTAAAGATATATATTTCATCTGTTTTTGAAAATAGGAAAATATTAAGTTCTTTTTTTTTATTTCCCAATGATAGATTTCTAAATTTTTAAGATAGTTTTATTAATTGATGTTAATGAATTGTATACCTTTAAGAAACATTAATTGAACATATTTAAATTGAGTAAATCTTTTTGATTGATTGTTATTGTAAACTGTATAACAAAAACAAGTATTATAGTTAATCATAAACAAATTATATTTGCAGAATTTGTTTTCGAACATCTTACATGAATTAACTTCCAGATAATTATGACATCATTGAGGGTTTTTTTAAACGATTTGTGGGTTCCGTTTCACAAGTGTCGTGATCTAGACAATAAACGTGAGCGTTCATGTGGCTTCTTCAAGTGCAGTATCTCCACTTGTCACCCAACTGATAGATTAACCTTATCTTCACGAGATGCTTTCTGCTTTTGGGAGTATGATAGAATATGAGATTACAATTCATGCAAATTTAAAATAATTAATTCATATTATAATAATACCGTGTTCCAAAGTAAGATATAATAGTGATGTATTGTGATCAGGGCCGGCCCTGAGGCATGCCTAATGAAACATTTGTTTCAGGCCCCCGAAAATTTTGAAGAAAATTACATAAGTATAGGTCCCCAAAAAAACCTTTTAGGCTCCCAAAAATTTTTTTTACATAGAAATCGTCATAGGCCCCCAAAATCTCAGGACCGGCCCTGATTGTGATTCCACAATTATCTAATGTTTTTGACAAATACTTAGTTATCTGGAATCTGTTAATTTAACTAGACATTTTTCTTAAAGAAACTTCTGCGATTGAACTGTAATTATATAAATACTACTGTAAAATTTAAGCTGTGAATATTTTTTAAAATTTATATATCTGATATAACTGTAAAAATTAGATGAAAAAAGAAAAAAAGATATTCATACAACAAATATTTTTTATTATATCTCAGTAAATAATACAACCATTTCCTTATTTTTCTATTTTGTTTCTAAAAATAAAATAAAATATGATCGGGAATTTTATTTTTTTAAATAAAAACTAAAACTTAATACACTGTTTCATCCCAATCAATCGCTTCCAAATTTTTTTGGAACAGTTATTTATTTGTACAGCTATCGTATTTAATAACTTTTCTAACCAGGTCATCGCAGTTTAAACTATACAAATTAACACGATTTGGATATTATAAATATAGCCAAATGAGTAGTTTACTATGTATATATTTTATTATTGCTTCTTTATTTTTATAAAATAGCAATTACAATGAAACAACTTGACAACCTCAGCTCCACATGCAATGAATCGGGTTCAGAAGATGACTCCGTAACCAATGAAAGCACTAACGATAATACACAATTTATTTATTATTTTGTATAAGATATGGAATCTCTTGAATAAGTAATGTCTTAGAGCATCCACGATTGTGAGTTTTATTAGAGTCCTTTGCAACAAGAATATTTTGGATTAATTCTAGATAATTCGGAAAAATAAAAATGACCATTCACGAAGATCAATAGAGCCCATAAACAATGTAAGGATCAAGTTTTACCAAAAGATTTTAAAAATTTTTTTTGACACAAACTCTACAAAAATAGATTCCACGTTCTCTATGGACTCCCTCAAAAACTCCCATTGTGGATGTCCTTTATTATGTTCTTCTCCTGCAATATGTTTTTTGTTCTGAGTTTTCGTTTTCACAGAACAGTATATATTTGTTTAATTTTAAGTTATCGCACGATGGTCTATAATCGTTCTTTTTCAACGTGTGCTTGTTCTTCTCAAGTTGCTTATCAATTATTACGGCACTTCAACAATTGATGTCAATATATCTGTTACTATTTTAGTGGTGGCAAGTTAGTGGTCGTTTGATGTCATTTAGACAAAGTGGATGTATCAGCTCAGGACAGAGACATGAACTATATAACTAACACACCATATCCTAGGAAAATAGGGCCAGATCCGACATGTATCAAGCTTTCTTAGATCCCCATTAAATTTGGAGCACTTGTAGGATCAGTCCTTCGATTTGATATTCATTTAATATATATATATATATATGTCTTTTCCCACTTTAAAAATACCTTTGGATCTGACCCAACGAAGGCTAGATACAAGCACTGGTTGGTCATATATATATATATATATATATATTACATTATATCTAGTTAACCAATGAGGAAGCGAAAGACGCGAATCAGATCCCAACGTTCACAATGTAAGGTAAAATTGGATACGTTTGATGCGAGGAAGTCAGTACCCAGATAAGGAGGATGATATGAGAGCTCACAACAACCCCACCACCAGTGATCAGACAAGAAGATAAAGATAACTAAAGTTTTTGGTTACTGTCATGGTAATGATCAAAAACGTTAATCCAAGAAACTAACTGATCAACATGGAATTTGAAACATAATTACAAAACTTCAGCACTGACTTAACCGGGACAAAGACAGGACACAAGCACTGCTGCACTGACTGTTCGATTATTACCATGAAATGTAATTAATTAAGCGACGTTTTAACGAGTACATCACTGAACACAAGAAGTGAGGATCAAGTACCAAATGATAAAAACAGAGCTTTATAAATGGGCTTATGTATCAGGCCTGGTAAGAGTAATTGGACTCTATTAATGGGCTCTTTTTAATCTGATCTAGGGTTTTAGTAGTGTTTCTCGTAAAACTCACTCATATATAAACACAGTTTACACTTTTCCCGTCACTCTAGTCTTGATTAGTAACCTAGCCGCGCCGTTAGAAGAAGAGAAGATGGGAGTTTTCACATTCGTTTGCAAAAGCAAAGGCGGAGAATGGACAGCTAAGCAGCACGAGGGAGACCTCGAAGCTTCCGCTTCTTCCACCTACGATCTCCAGCGTAAGCTTGTTCAGGCTGCTCTCTCCGCTGATTCCTCCGGTGGCGTTCAGTCTTCCTTCTCTCTCGTCTGCCCCAACTCCGCCGTCTGCCAGGTTTCTCAATAGCTTCCTTCTCAGTCTCTTATGGATAGCTAAGATCTGTTTCCTTTCTTTTACTCGAATCTGTCACTGTTATATGTTTGGCTAAGTAGTTTGTTAGAGTATCTTCGTATTAGTTAAAAACATATTTGTTAATCTGATGTTTTAAGTTTATGTAATATACACTTTGACCAAATAAGAACTCATTTGTCAGTATAGTAATAGTAGAAAATGAAATGGAGCAGGTGATTATTGGTGGTGGTTCTGGAGGAGGATTTGCTGCCGGTGGAGGTGCAGCTGCTGGAGGAGGCGGTGGAGGTGAGGCTGCCGCAGCCGCCAAGGAGGAAGAGAAGAAGAAGGAAGAGTCTGAAGAGGAGGAAGGTGACTTTGGATTTGATCTCTTTGGTTAAGTGAAGACAAAAGCATCTAATGTGATAGTTTTGTTTGGTTTCTGCTTCTCGTTTCTAAACCTTTTTTATTTTCTGAGACTATAAATTATTATCAGAAATATATGTTTGGTTTCTGGTTTCAAACCATATTATTGCATTCTTATTAGACAAGAAATCAAGTACAAATCAAAGGATATTTATACAAGGGAGAAGAGATGTCTTTGTAAAAAAAAATAAAGAACGACAATATCCAAAAGTTCGATTGCTAAGTCTGTTTAAAGTACTATTTCTAGGATGAGCAACACGAAAACAAGTACGAAAGGAACCAAAACTGACATAAGAACAACCGCCCACATGAATACATCTTCGTTGCAGTTTCCATGGACGCCGCTGTTCCACAACTTACCACATTTGTAGCAAAAAGCATTCCCACACCTAGAAATAAAAAGTGTATGTAATGCAAATGTGTATGAGAAAATACATAAGAAGTTAAGAACAATGGCATGTCAATATATATTACACTCTCTGTTCAGATTAATTGTCATTGTAACATAATTTTTTTGTTACGAAATACATGTTATTTTATGATTCTAATGCAATTTTTACTATTGTTTTACCTTTTTTTATCACTAATTAAACTTTGATCAAAAAAAAAAATCACTAATTAAACTAAGATAAATAATAAATATTATGCAATTCTAAAGGTCAAACAAAGATAAAATCAGAACATTTAAATATTTTTTTAATAAATATTATGCAATTCTAAAGGTCAAACAAAGATAAAATCAGAACATTTAAATATTTTTTTAGTTTGTGTATAAACCTTTAAATGACAAATAATTTGAAATGGAGAGAGTATTAAAAGCTTGTTTCAGAGGGAGAAGAGACAAGGTACCTGCAAGTTATGCGGTTACACCCGTAAGAGCGTCCAACCATGTGATAGCACCTGGGACACTGACGCCACCCATTAAGATTTGCCAAAGCTTTAACCTTATTTGCATCCTCACCATCTTCTCGATAATACTTTTTAGGATACAACCTCTTGTAGTCATTGCACGATAACTTACCATGCCATGGAACTCTGCAGTGAACACAGAACTCCCCACGGCATTCAAAGCATCTCCTTAGTCTAGAATACGATCCACCACGAGAAAGCTCGGTCTTGGACATTAGGTGAGAGCAACTCTCATAAGGACAATAAACTCTATTTTCCAAAGGAATTGAGTTCTCTTCAATCGTCTGCATCCACAACAAGCTTTGCTTGAACGTCAAAAGATCGCCGCATCTGTCGATAGAAAAATTAGGTATGTGCTGTTTCACACAGTTAATGCAAAACCGATGACCACATCTTTCAGAGTAGAAAATTAGGTCAGAATCAACGTCGTCCAGACAGATTATGCAATGTTCTGTTTTCTTGTCTGCTTTGCCTCCTTGACGAGGAAGAAATCGAAGAATGTATTGTTTTGTATACTTCTGGTCACATGGTGTAATCCCATATTCTGATTTTACTGCCGCCATCTCCTCGTCTTATCAAAGTGGAAAAAAAAAACTCTCCATGGATTTATACAAAAGCACTGCACATTACGATTATATTCTTTGTTAGAAGATCGTTTTAATACTCTGTTGAGATATCTTCGAGATAGTGCAACAATATTTGTGATTTTGTGTTTGTTATTATTTTGATATATTATCTACTAAGCTTATTATTTTATTCTTGTTGTTACTATCTAGTATCTACTAAGCTTATTAAGATACATCATTTCATACGAAATTTTGAGAACACACACAAAAATGTCGAACACAGTAGGGATTCTCAGTATTTCATTTTTTTAACGACAAAAAAACTTACTTTATAAATGGTGTCAAATTTAAGGAATGAAGAGTAATTAACTATTATGATTCCTCATAAATGGTGTCAAATGTAAGGAATAAAGAGGAATTAACTATTCCCACACAAAAAAACTTAATAAAAAGCTTTACAAGAATCATCAAGAAAAATCAAAAACGAGCCTTGCGTTTTCTGGCGGTGTATTTGGAATCAGTAGGAACATCATTTCCTTTTCGTCTACTTTGTTCTTTCTTACTCAAAACCCATTCCCTTCCTCCTTTCCTTTTATTGTTGTTCGTTCTCTGCTTCTTCCTTGGCATGTTCCTATCCGATACATATACCTTTTCACAAACAAAACAAAGATTATTGTAAATAAAGACACTTCCATAATAAGTATACAGTAACAAAAAGAGACTTGGATACCATTCCATTCTCTTCATCATCTTCGCTATCATCATCATCAGAGCAACTGTCTTTATGGCCATAGTTAATACTAGTTGGAACAGAACCACAACTAAGGACCAAAAACTCCTTTTTTTTCTTACTACTGCCAGTTTATAAGAAGTGTTAATTAATGCTGCGGGGTCAAATGTGAAATTCAAAACTAGCGGAGGGTACGTACCTGTTAGAGTAGTCAACCTGAAGTCCACCGCTAAAGCCAGCATGTTGGGCCTGGCTAAGAATCAATTCAAGCTGAGCCATATTCTCAGGGTACATTTGGAAAACTGCTTTTGCTCCTCTTGATAAGCATCGGTATAGTGATCCAAAGAAAGCCCTTTTGAATTGTCAAAAAAGATTATTAAACACACTATCTTTAATTAATTGATTCAAATCTTAATGATTTATACACGTACTTAAGCCTCAAACGAGGTTCATGAGACGACTTGTCTGCATTGCATAACCACTGAATAGCAGATATACTGATGACTCCGTCTATAACTCCTGTACGAAGACCTAATCCCTGAAGATAATGAATATAACGATTACAAAAGATCCACCACCCACAATATATATTAAAGAAAGAGAGACAAACCTGCCCCATGTCACCAAGTAAGAGATCACCCTCAACTTCTCGTTCCATAGCAACATCTACGTTTGAACAAAGAAAATAAAATAATAAAGCAACATCTACGTAGTTATTAAAAGTGGCTTAGAGATGTAAAAGGAATGAAGAGAAGAACAATTCTTCATGAAGAGAGAAGAGTTAGCAAGCTAGTACTAGTAGTGTAATTAACGTACTAAGCATAGAGGCTGAGATGTCAAGACCAATCCATCGGTGCCCACTTTCAGAGATTGTCTCCCCGCTCAGGCCAGATCCACAACCTGAACCACAATATATAGATTATTTAGTAACTTTCGGCTTATGCAAAAAAACTAAAGAGATAAAGTTAAGATACAAACTTTCAATAAAAAACATGTACAAATCATGATCATCATCATTATATAAAATAAAAATAAAAAAAACTTTTACCTATGTCAAGCAAGAGACGAGGAACATCATCTTCGGGCAAATCAAGAAGCTCCAAAGTTCTCTCTGACAACCTCGCCTATAGATAACCAACCATGCATGCATGTGTTTAAGCAGACAGGACTACTGATATAAGGAGAAACTGAGATATATAGGAAAATAAGAACCTGAATTTCGAGGTTACGTGAAGAAGAAGTATACTTGCGAGCCTCTTTATCATCATAGAATATCTCCGGCGGCGCTTGCAACTCGGGTCGACTTGACATTCTTATTATTTAGAGCACTGAGAAGATTTAGTGATTATCAACAATTGGTGTGCTTTGAATTGATAATAACACATAAGTGATTCAAGTGGGGAATCAATCAATTAAAGAAGTTTCTTTACCTGGGGGACTGAGTTTCGAAGAGACAGAGACAGAGAGAGAGGAAGAAGAACAAACAAACAAACAAAGGAACATACGGCGATGAATTTAAGCAAAAAATAAAGAAATAAAAGGCGATGAATTGTTTTTAGGGTTTAGTGTAAACAGGAAAAAAGTTCTCTAAACTTGGTATTTGCAAAGACTAATTGATGATCGTGGTCGGACCTGGTTAACCAACTTGGTTATTGTGGTTTTCAGAATTTTTAGGTTTGCTTATTTGTTTTAGTGTTATACTAAAAACTAAACTAGATTTTGATCATCCCTATCTAAACACTGACTTTTTTTTTTTTAATTATCCAAAGCTGATCATTAAACACTGCCATTATTTCTGTTTAAAACCCTTAACAATTGAGTTTTGTTCAAAATAGATTTAACTATAATATGTGTGATCTAATAATACATATACATTGAAACCTCTATAAATTAATAATGTTGAGACTATACTAAAATTATAATTTTTTATTAATTTATAGAAATTATTAATTTATCGATATAATAATTGAACCAAAAACTTAATTTGGAACTTTAAAATTATATTATTTTATATAAATTTTTAGTATATATTAATTTATACAGTATTAATTTAAAGAAGTTATACTGTATTTTATATCAAAGACCAATGTGTTCTCATTGTTAAAATATAGTAATGATATGAATTGTCGATTTTAAACTGAAATACGGTAACTATCATACATACTTACAAATTCTTTGTTTTATGAATTGGTCATAGCATATAAAGAATTTTAATTTTAAAAATCAAGCCATGAATTGATATAGCTTTAATTAATATCTAAGTCATAACCAAAAATATTATATAAAAATCTAAGTTGGTAATCAAACCTACTGCATTTTGACCATGATATAATATAGAGAAATTATCTAGGATGATCATAATATTTTTTTATCATAAATATAATTAACAAAGGTCAAAATGTCAAAAATATTTTATTAAAGATTTGAAGGGTGGAGTCTTGGTCATTTTTGAAGTGGGGTTTAGGATTTTAATAAATAAATATTAAATACAAAAAGTTTAAAATAATTTTTAAATAGTTTCAAAAATATTTTTTGAATTTGAAATAAAAATTTGAAAATAAAAATAAAAATGAAGAAAATTTATAAAACTTTTCAAATTCAAAAATGAATAATTCAAAATAATATAATTTTTATCTATTATTTTTATTGTCTATTGAAATAATTATTTGTATTCCTATAAAATACGAGTAGAAGATTCGTTTGATTCTTTAATAAAATATCTTTTGATATTTTTTTGTCTGTACTTTTTTGATGAAAAGAGTAGTGTTATGTGAGAATTGATTTTTTTTAAAAACATTTCAATATGTCTAAATGATACTTATCTTAGAGCGACTTTAATGGTTGGGGGTCTAAAATGTGGTTGTAATCCAAATAAACTAATAATTTAATAAAATTTAATTATTTAAATAGATCAAAATATTAAGTGTATCTATAGCTGACATGTGTGCATAAAGTTTATAAAGAATATCTAAAACTATGTGTAATCCTCTTTCTCTTATTTTTCTTAAATTGCTAATAGTATCTTGGAGGTGCTATTAGCTAATTGAGAGAAGGTGCACCCGCCGTTAAATTTAGTGGAAGCTGCTGTACATGTTTCTCTTTTATACCTTCTAACAAATAATAAAATAGACTACTAGTCTAATATTATAGACAAATCTTTATTTTATCTGAATAAAGTATCCAATATAAGTATCAACAAACTATTGTTTTCGTGATTCGAAACTAATTTTGCAATATTACGACATTTTTCATCGAATCTTACATTTTATTAGAATGATTTGCATCACTAAAACAATATTTGAAAACAAGACTCTTGTAGCGCGGCAATCTTCAAATGGTGAACCAAGTGGATTAATATACATAGTGTCATTAAGCCAAGCCATTAGTCATAATGGGACGCTGATGGCAAACGGCTCGTAATGGCACGAGCTTACGCATAGCCATTCCCGGATTCTCGCTCATATCAATCTCCTCACCGTTGACTTTCTCCCAGTCAAAACACTGAATTAACGATCCTAAAGCCAGAGACACCATCCTCTGCCCTAAAGCTGCACCAGGACAAGTCCTTCGTCCGTTCCCAAACACCATAAGCTTATTACTGTTCGCAGCTTCTTTGTCTTCAAACCTCTCTGGCATGAACCTCTCGGGCTCATCCCATAGCTTTGGGTCTCTATGGATGGCCCAAGAGTTCACTAGTACGATCGTGCCACGTGGCACGTCATATCCTCCAATCTTGATATCTTCAGAAGGAGAACGTGGGACAAGAAGTGGTGCGGCAGGACACAACCGGAAGGTTTCCAAAACTATGTTTTGGAGATAAGGGAGATTCACAATGTCTGGCTCGTCGACCAAACGTTCTTGTCCAATCTTATCATCTATCTCAGCTTTTGCCTTCTTCAATACTTCAGGGTTTTTCAACAAACTAGCCATCGCCCATTCTAGCGTCACGGCTGAAGTATCCGTTCCCGCAAGCATCATGCTCTATATTTACAATTCAGATATGTTACTTTTATCTTTACATATTTTGTAAATATATACAAAGGGAAAAGTTATATGTTTAGGTTTATATGGAGTACTTACGAGCATGAGGCCTTTGATGATGACGTCACTGTAATACTTGGGTTGTTCTTGTTGTAAAGACAACAAATGACTAAGCATTGTGTTGCTCTCTCCATCTCTACGGCAATCATCAAGCAGACGCTGCAAGAAAGTGTCCATTGCTTCGCCAAGTTCTTTCACTTTCTTCTCATAACTGTGTCCGAACACTTTAAGAATCGGTAGATAATCTCCTGGATGGCTCGCACCACTATTGTCGTTGATCTGCGTCACTAATTTCTTGAATAGATTCGCCTCTTCCTTGTTTTGAACCTTCAAAAAATAAATAGAAAAACAAAAAATATCATTTAAGACAAATAGTTTTAGTCTGAATAGTCCTAATAAAAAATTGTACATAATATGGTCCATCTTTGGTAGGTAAATATTTAAATAATTTTCTACAAGAACACTATGATTTCTATGTGAAAAATGATTAGTGAATTTTTTCGTATTTAATTAACGTTACTATATATTCATATAATAAATGAAACAAACCTGGTCTCCGTAGTAGCGTCGCCCTGTGACCATACGGACAATATTATTGAACGTCAAATCTGCAAGAAGAGGCTCAAGCTCAACGACACGTCCATTATGGTCACGTGAGAGTTTCGTGAGCAACCGTTGGATCTCGTCTCTACGAACGGAGAGGAACCCGGTGAGGCGGTTAGAAGAAAGGATCTCAAGAGAGCATATACGGCGGAGATTACGCCAATGGTCGCCGTAAGGGGCGGTTCCGATCGTGGTGTAGTCGTATGCGACGTACTTGGCCGTCAGAAAATGCGGCCGGTTTGTTAGAATAATGTCGTTGTCACCAGTGAAGCATTCTTTGACGAGGGGCAAAGAAGAGATCACGACGACTTGGCGAGAGCCGTAGCGGAGGGAGAAGATGTCACCGTATTTTTCGGCCAAGCGGCGGAAGAGACGGTGTACAGGCGGTTTCACGAGGTGGAGGTTGCCGACTATGGGAAATGGAGTTGGTCCTGGTGGGAGATTGAAACGTTGCGTTTTGAATGATGATAAGAATTTGTAAGCTAGTATAAGCAATACGAATGGGAAGAAAATCACAACGTATTCCATTTTTGTGTGTTTTTGTTTTGTTTTTATTCTATTCTCTTTTCTTAGCTCACAAAAGGCTAAAGTGATAAATGTTGATGGCCTATGTGTGTCTATATATAGAGAGACGGGGTTTATGGCACAAGTGAGGAAACATACCTAGTTAAAGGGTGTATGTTTTGAACGTTGACTCTAGTAGCATATCATTGTATACCACGTCAAGCTTTTTTAGTGATGCCTTGTTTCATATGACTTTTCTTTGACCTTGACGGGTTACTATTATACTACTAATTGGTTTATTCTGACGGTCGGTCCACTTGAAAAGGGTGGCATATGAATTTTCCTTCGAAATTATTCATATTCTTAATTGCAGAACTATTGATAGCTGACCTCAGAATTTAGAAATTTCTACTATTTGTATTTTGTACATTCTTTTATTATCAGTTGAATTTTGTGTTAAGTAAATGATAATTACAGAATGCCATATGACATAAAACAAGACATGTATGTATCATCCACCTGGATTAGACCTAAAAGGAAATAAAACCAAATATTTTGATGTTTAGGTAGTTACAATTTCTACAAACGAATGATTTAAGCGGACAAGAAACATCGGTGTGATCACTGATCCACTTGTATTTACACCACACTAGTCTATTGAGCTATTAATTGCACAGCTACATCCCTTTTATACGACTTCTCAAACGTGGCTGCTCGTCGAGTCTAAGATACAACTTAGAGCTGAGATTATTATCCAAGATCCAATCCGAGATCTGCTACGGATCCATTTCAAAAATAGGATATCCGAGGTTTTTAGATTCAGATAGTAAAATTTCGGATCTGTCTAAACCGAATCCGGATATCATAATTTTCAGGTTTAAATGTTCGGGTATGGATCTATGTTTCTAAAATATATTAATTTTTAATTTTAATAATAATTATAATTATATTTGATATATTAATACTTATACATAAAAATTAGTCTTATGATATTTTATTTTTAATAATATCATATGTCATAATAGATTTATATATTTGGCATAAATATTTAATTTATTTATTATTTCAAAAATTCTGTATTTAAAAATATTTTTAATATTTTTTACGGATCCGACTCCGAATTCATATATACGCGGGAATAACAATTTCTAAACAGATATCCAAACCCTAGATATCTGTAAAATACGGATTTGAATCCAAATACTTAAAGCACGGATCCGACGAATTTGGATTCAGATACTCTAATTTTTTCGGATATCCGGATCCGTTCCACCCCTAACACAACTATACCAATTTTTAGATCATTTTTTCGAATTCCCCTAATAAAATAGGGAAATTATTTACAATATTATCTTTTCATATTTCCAATTGAACAACACGAAAAATTAACAAAAAATTGATGAAAAATCATAACTAAAAGTAATATGTAATAAAAAATATTTAAAAAAAATTATTTAAAACATAAATATTATTTATACTTAAAACAGTAAAATTTAAAATTAAAACTAAAAAATGAGTAAAATAATAAAAAAAAACTTATTTTATGAATTCTGTAAAACTCCCAAATACAAATCCAATATTGATATGATAACAAAACATATATATACATTTTCATAGTTTCAATGAGAGACACAATAAAATAATTTGACAAAAACAATGAGTCTAAATAAAAATTGATGGTCTAAAAAACATATTAGGAGAGTTACTCCGCAAAAAAATAGTTTCATTAAAATGATCTCAATAATTTTATTATGAAATTTATTAGGTCGCAACAAAATTTGATGCTGGATATTATATCATCAAAAACTTCAACCGAGAAGATGATAAAATTCAAGGAATAGAAGATATATAATTTACATTTAAATAAAAATAAATGGTAAACAAAATATCCAGCGAAGATAAAAAACTAGTAAGATAGAGTGCTGACAAAAAAAACTAATAAAATAGAGTATGCTAGGTGTATATATATTAATATATAAATGGTTGTGCAAATAATTCAAACTGTACATACGTCCGATTCACGAATGTAATAATGCAATCGGCTTGCGCCCGCCACTATGTGCCTGGTCTACACAAAAAAAAAACATAATATAATATGTAAGTATTAGCGGGATGATAACATAAATACATAAGAAATAACTTAGTGAATTAATAAGTCTTTTCTTAATAAACTTTTACTCTGACCGAAAGAAACTGTGGAAATACGTGAAAGTGGAACTATGAACAAATGGTGACAATCAGGACATTACAGATGAAATTTCGACATCTAGATTTCTATAATATCTCAGTGCTATGCTTAAAAGGGGTATGTATGTGGATCTGCAGCAATGGCACTCGTTTGCAACTGTGTCCGATTTGATTTTTTTTTTCCAATTAATTGCTCTATCGTCCGTTTAGGGTGTTGTCTAGAGTTTATTATTTTGTGGATCATTTGATTTTTTTCTTGCCTTGTGTGTTTAGTATTTTTTTCGGTAGACTGCTCAAGGTTCTGGATTGTTTGGTTGGTTGTGTTCTTGAGATTTTAGTCATTATAGGTGGGATTCTGAAACCCAATTTGAGAAGCAGTTTATGAGTAAATTTAGTGGTTTTATATGCACTTGTCTCCAGTATATTAGGATCAATATAGTGAGACATGTGTAGATTCTCAAGTATTAACTTATACTCCCTCCGTTTTATATTAAGTGTCACTGTAGAGAATTTTTTGTGTTACAAAATAAGTGTCGTTTTCGGTTTTCAATGTAAAATTTATTAATTTTATTATGTAATTTGTTTTTCTATTGGTTAAAATATGGTTAGGTGTATGGGTAATTGTGTTTTTATATAGGAAATATGTAAAATTAATTGTTTCCTTAATCCGTGTGCATAGCTATAGAGTGACACTTATATTGAAACAAAGGGAGTACCATGTTTATCCCTAACAAACTAATAGGTTTCTTAGTTTTTATTTGTCTTAAAAAAAAATTTAAAAAGCAACTAATTGCGGAACGCCACATATTAGTGGGTTCCGTAAACAGTGTAAGAAATTCATTAAAATCGATTTTTAATTAGTATTTTTTTGTAATCGAATTTTAAGAGTTTTGTGAAAGTTCACGCACTAAAAACTTCGCTAAAGATACCGGATAAACATGCTCTCGTTAATGCAAAGACGTTAACGTTCACTACTCGAAATTGATGGTAGCGAGTCTCAACCTAATTAGCGCTTTGTAAGCATGTGTTTATGTTATGTCTTGCTAGTGTTGTTTGTTAAGATGTTTTTAGAGATTTGTTTTCGGTATTTTTAATTTTATGTGTGTTTAGTTCTGAAAGTATATCTGTTAAATCGTCGGTTTGCAAATTTTATATTCGACACTATCAAACCACCAGGTTTTAACTCTTTCAATTCTAAATTGTATTCGTGAACATTTTAATTTAGTGAGAAAAACATTTTTTTCCGTTTTTTTGCTCAAGTTCACTCACGGCTGTCAGGCTTTGTACTGCTGTGATGATAGTGTAACATGAAGATAGTCGTTTTGACCCGCCATCTCAATTAGGCCGAACTAAAGATTTTTCTACGTATTATAATCCAAGATCTCGTTATCAATATCATGGCCCAAACTCAGTTGGTAAAGTCATTGCTTGATTCAATTATTGAATTTATGCGGTCAAATAACTCACTATACAACTTCTTACATTTTATACTGTATCTAAATAAAGGTTGAATGAACGAAACTACTTGGTTTAGAAAAAAAAAAGTTCGTCTAAAGTTACAAGCCATATTAGAAAGTTTGCTTTTCATTAGTTATCATGTTCTTGATGAACACTAAAAACGCTATAATACAAATCCATCGAATTAGTGCTGGAAAAAATTAGAGATAATGACTAACATCATATATGAATCTAGCCGTATTTTATGGGAATATCCAGTTTATTGATAATTTGTGGTAAGTAGCAGAGAAATCAACGATTCGTCCACCTTTCTTTCGTGTTTTTGAACCACAGGTTTCCTCCATAATCGCAACATAACGCGTGAATACATCAGCAAATATTGATTTCCTATAAAAAAACAAGATGATACCTCCCATAAAAAGATATTAAATGATAAGTACATTTTGATCACTGACTTAAAATATAAGAAATGTATCAAAGAGTAGTAGATGCTGAGATATCACATTCAATATATAAATTAGATGTCACTGGTAAGAGTGCGACTTCATCAGCGTGCACATCGTACTTTTCCAATCAAGTAGGATGTTGTGTCGGACATCATGTGATTCATATCCGCGATAAATCCATGTTAAATTCGGTTTTTAAGGTTTCTAACTTGAAACGAATTGGCAATCACGGAGTTACTAATGCAAAGTCGTAGCCATTAGCTAGCTTATCTTTTTATATCGTTTATGTTTAATGTTTTTGTAGGTGTTTTAGTGGTTTTTGTTTTTTCTATAGTAGTGCTGTTTGTTTGGATGTTAGCCCATTTCAATGAAATACTCTTTTTTTTATTTCAATTAAAAATAGAGTAACTAATCTAATGGAGTTGGGATTTATTTCAATTTTTTTTTTTTGAGTAGAAAATAGAATAATGAAGAAAATTAAAGATATGATTTTATGGAATAAATTTATTTTTATTTGATTATAAAGTAAAAACAAGCAAGACTGAAAAAAATCAACTTCATATTTTATTTGAAAGTAAGAAATAAAATATGATTGGAAATGCTATAGCGATTTGTAACTTATATATATATATATATATATATATATATTACATTTTTGATAAACTTATGTTTTTAGATTACTAGCTTATATATTTATATTATATATGTCTTGTTTTAACTTTTGTGTGTTTGACACCGGAAATATATATATTAAACCTGCATTTTAGTCGTGTGAGACTTTCTCACAGTCAGTAGGATCTCCCCTTAGTGCAGAAGGTCTGGCACTCTGGTCTGCAATCAGGAAATGTCAAGAGATGGGACTCCTAAGAGTCAAGTTCGAATCTGACTCTTCTCAACTAATAGCAGCGCTGAACTCGCAGTCGGTCCCCCCGGAGCTGTATGGAATTATCTCGGATATTCACCATTGCTCTGTTTCCTTTGAGCTTTGTTCCTTTAATTGGATCCCCCGATCCCGGAATGTTGATGCTGATCTGTTGGCTAAACATGCTTTATTTTCTGGCAATTCTATGTTGAACATTGAAGTACCGTAAGTTTGAAGTAATGAAATTTGTGTTACAAAAAAAAAAAAAAAAAAAAAAAAACCTGCATTTTATTCGTTTTTTAATTTCAGAATCGTATATTTCCAATCTTTGAATCCACTCTCGTTTATTAAAAAATCTTGTATGAAATAAAAAGATTTGATAAGTTCGCGGTTATGTATGTGTAAGCCTTGATAATAATTAACATGGACGTAGTCCTTTGACCCGCCATCTTAAGTAGGCAAAATATAAGATCTTCTTGTATGTGTCATAATTAAAGGTCTCGTTGTCATGGCCTAATATAATTGATCAAGTCTTGCTTTATATTCCACTATTTCGGTCAGAAACTTATACTATTCTAGTATCACTTATGATTTTAAAAGATGTAATGTCAAAAATGTAGAAAATGGGATATCATAAAAAAGAGAAAAAAAATATTAACCCACGGTGAAAGGTTACATATGAATTATACTTTTTTGGGTCAGCTGATTGGATAATGGAATAACGATACATAAACAACATCAAAACACATACCAAGTCTAAATTTTATACCAAATTCAAAAATTGTATTTCTATCATTAATTATGATTTTCTTACTGATATCCCCTAACAAGTTATAATATGAATAAAGTAGTTCCGTTCAATTGAAGTTTGTAAAAGATTTTGAGATAGTGACTAACGATATAAGAAAATGTGAGGTGGTCGGCAAAACGCCATAGAAAGCTGAAATTTCATCTCTTCCGTGTTTTAACCACAGTTTTCTTGCGCTGTCGAAACAAGAAAAAAAGAAACGGTTTTATCTCTTAGTTATTTATAAGAATATATCGATTCTTTGAAAAACAAGATGACAACTCTCATAAAAAAAAGGTATACTACAAAGTACAAACATCACTTCTTTGACAATGATAACTTAAACTTCACGGTTCAGACATGTACGATGGTGTTGGACGTCACATTCAGGATATACTCACGTAGAGCAATCGTACTTGCAAGTCGCCGGTGATTAGTCTGGACTTCGATCTTGAACACTCTAGGGCCTCGATTGGTACAACAGATGATAAAACATTAGTTGTATGCTGCAGAAACTGCTTTCATTAAGGTCATCCAAAAAATAGTTCACTTGTGACTTTGTCCAACTAGGTCACAGGCATGTCAGTAATATATATAGTTTATAACTCAATGCATAGAGCATAGTTCATGGATTCGAAAATCCAACTAGACTTGGAAATATGTCGTTGTCGAAACTGTATAGTTTACTGCGCCTCATAATTTGTAAAATCTGAAAATTCATTTTGTCTATCTATGTGTGAGAGAGAGTGTGTTTGTATTGTGTATATTAGAGGGTTTTGAGTTTTTCTTTAGCGGTGACTAAATTAGATATCTAGTCTAGGTTTCTCGTAGCACAAGGGACATGAGTTTCTTTTTTTTCAAACTAACAGGTTTTCATTGACTAGAGAAGTTAAGAGTGCATTTAATTATAATTTTCCCTCCTTTTCATGTTTCATTTCTATATTCTGAACGTTAAAGAAAATAGAGAGGTAAACATACAAATATTAAGCTGAAATAAAAATTTAATTAAAGGAGAATATGAAAAATTATCCCAACAGTGTAGAAGAGTCTTATACTAGTAACAAATCAAAGAATAATAATAACCTGAATTAACCGAAATTAACAAAAATAAAAAACAAGAGACAAGTTATAGTAGATGAACTTTTCTAAAGTAGCATATGATGATGGTTGTGTTGCTGCTGAGTAACAGATGAAGGAGGAGCTGGAAGAGCAAGGAAAGCGTCACCAAATGGGTTAGAAGAAGAAGATTGAGGATTTGACGAGAAGTGATGATAAGGTGAATAGTTATTGTTGTTATATGTATTCTGATTATTCATCATCATCATTTGCTGTTGTTGCATAGCCATCTGCACATTGGTTGGTGGAGCCATGTTATTAGACATTGCAAAAGGATCTTGTTGCATCCCAAACGGGCTTGGGTTCGATAAAGCTGGTTCTGCAGCTGTAGCCGTGGCTCCAAATCCATAACCAGCATTGGTTAACTGGATCTGTCTTCTTGCTGTGTCGTCTTCATAGAGACTATCTAGCAGAAGGTTGTCAAATCCTCCCCCCTATAAACAGATACACCATTGGAGTTAAAAATAGAAAATTTTCAAAAAATTGAATGAGCTAGACTTACTAGTTTTGTTGCTGTTGTGGGGCGAAGGTTGGTGTTATTGTTGTTGTTGTTCTGTGGTGTGACTAGTGAAAGCTCCCAACCACTTCCTCCAGCTTCTATCAAGCTTAGACTATTAGAAGGGCCTGAGGTTTCATGCCCTGGTGGATATATGGCTAGAGCCAATGCATTTTTTTCTTCTATCTCTGCGGCTTGAGGGTTTATTTCATTTAGACCCTGCACCAATCCAAGTTAAAAGGGTCATACACTTTTAGGTTTTGGTAGCTTTACTATATGTACATATGAAGATGACTCACAAGTAAATCATCAGTATCTATCAATGGTGAAGGTTTAGCTTCTTCCTCTTCTTTCTCCTCTTGAGGCTCCTCTTGCTCTTCTTCGATAAGAGGCTGATCATTTTCGGTGTTCTTGTTTTGGTTTTCATCTTCTGCAGGTTCTTCAGGCTGTTCTTCTTCTTGAGGTTCTTGTTCCACATCTTTCTCCTCATACTCCTGTTAATAAAAACATAAAAATATGTCAAATCATATGGCAATATAATGAGATGTGATGAGATGTAATTCATCTTTACCAGTTTTTTCTGTACAGAACCACTTTGAGGGGCTTCTTTGATGTATTCTTCCATTGTTGCAAGAAACGATGGAGGAGGCTGAAACCAGATCTTTTTGATTAGCAAAAACATCTTGAGGAGTAATTTAGAAAACAATCAAGAACTGAAAGCTAAGAACCAACCTGTCTTAATGTTGGGAACTGAAAGTTCCTTGCTAGCTCTAGCCCTTTGCAGTAATCATAAAACTCAGCTAGATTTTCAGCCTTTGCAAAGAAAAAACATCAAGAAGCAAAACTTAACATGCATGAAGATATAAGCTTAGTATATGCCAAAAGAAACTTTAGCTGCGTCTCTCACCTGTTGACCAGCTCTTTTGTAGATGTTTAGAGCTTTCACTGCATCATGTCTTGTCATGTCAAAGAACTACATTAACACAGAGATACAGTATTTGAGTAGATAGGGGAGGCAAGGCAGGGGTTGTAACTCTTTTTTTTTAAACTAACCATGTCTACAAGATTAATGATTCCATCATTGATAGCACAATAGATTTTGAAGCTTTCTTTAAGCACCAATGCAAGAGCATACTGGATTAGATAGTTGCAATAAGCTGCTCCTTCAGGCTGCAAAACTGAGACACAAATAAGAAGAAATCTTCTCCAGCACGCAAACACATAATAGTAAGAAAGCAAAGAGCAAAGTTTACTTGACATCCAATAAGCCTGAAAAGAAGCTGTTGCAACGCAGGTAACTGTTCTAACAGATCTTCACCTGACAACATCCTCGTTGTATGCTTCTGCACAAAAAGATTGAAACACAAAGATTGTAACGAAATTTGGACAGTTTCTTGTTGATGGGAAGTGAGAAGACAAACCTTGGAAGCTGCACCTGAAGATTTAGGCAAACGCTCTGATTCTATATCATACTTTAAAACACGATAACATTCAAGTCGCTCTTCAAGAAAGAGCGCGTATGTTCTAACCCAAGCAGAGCAATCCCAAGCTGCATTAAAGATAATATGATAAATCAACAAATAATAAGATCAATACATATAAGTGTTCTAAAAATTAGTATAAACGGTCATAAGCAATTTTATATTGAGAAAAATAGGGAATGGTTCAGTTCACCAAGAGGACTTGTATCGTCTTTGAAGTTAGAGATCCTAAGAATATGTCTTCTGTGAGAGTAGTTTAGAAGCTCTTCTCTGAACGTAGGATCACCTTCTCTTAACGTTCTGTGAATGACTATCAACACCTTCATTGCTACCTGTATGTGCGTGTGTTTGTCAATCTTGTTCAGAAAGAAACTTGTGTAGCAAGAAAATAACTTACAACCCAAGTGCGAGTTTTGGATAATCTCTTTGACAGTGCATGGATGCAGTAAGCAACATCTGCTCGTGGTTGTATCACAGATGTGGCCGCGAATATCTCTACATAAGCACAACCACGTCGTTAAAAGTTCTTGAATCATATCTAATTTTATTGGAATAGCAGAGGAAACTTACTACGAACGTGACGTTCTTTGGGAGGAGATTCTACATGATTGGTTGCCTTGACGATCGCAATATCAAGATCCTAATAATGTATAAAGATCAAGAATCAAGAACATGCATAGATCATAGTATTTGAAAAAAAAAATGGTGAACTTTCAAGATCAGGAGAATAATGAGACCTTGAATTCGCTGTTGACCTTAGCGAGACCAACGGTGGTGGAATCCTTGAGAGCACCATAGGCTTTGCGTAAGCTCGTGAACGTTCCCATGTCGAGCTACACCTTAGTCTGAAAATCGAGATCTGGATCTTGAAATGGTGGTACGTGGTGTGATATGCAGCCAAGACAAGAAAGAGAGAATTAAGATGATGTTTTTGGGTTAATGGTACGTGGAAGATAACAGACTTTCTTCTTCTACGCCCTCAAAACGTGCGTAACAGAATACTAGTGATCTTGATTATTTCCTTTTTCAATAATCATACTTATTTCCTCTACGTGTATTCTTTATTTTAGGACGTCAATCATGTCGTAGTCGCGAGATCATTACGGTGGTCTCTTAAATTAATAATTAACATTAATTATTATCTCGGTGGTACTATCTTAAAGATAATAACAAATCATGTTTAGATAAGCCAACCGTGACAATTATATCAAGACAGAGTTTGGAAAGGTTATAAGAGCATTTTCAAAGTTAAGTTCTGAAACAGTTGTTCGAAATTAAAATACATAAAAATTAGGAAAAAAAAAGAAAATGAATTGGTATTTACTTTGGCAGATATCATACCATATTACCATTAAGGTTTAAATTGGTTTTACAAAATTAAAGCATAATTGAGTAATTGTAATAGTAATCTCTTTTTTCTTATAGAAATTCTTAAAAGTCTTTCTCGCAGAAATATGATGACTAGAAATGACTTGTTATTAAACAAGTGGTCAATTTTTGGATTATGAAGTTGTGATGTGTTTAAGAAAACTAATATTTTCATTTTTAAAATTTTGCTTAATTTTTTTTTTCTGAGAATTACGTACTCGCAAGCTCTTACGTAATGATATGCGGCTTAGAAATATGATGGCTAGAAATGACTAGTGATTGAATATGTAGTAAGTTTTAGAATATGAAGTTGTGACGTTTATAATTTTGGAAAACCATATTTACAAACGAATCAGAATAATATATTTGCATAAACAGATCTGTAACATGTTTGCTTTTGTTGCAATTGTTGCACCAATGGTTGGTAGCATCATTTTTGTCAGAAAGAAAGGGGACAATGCGAGGGAAGGAGACGAGGTAAGCAGTCTCGGCTTTCGCAAGAAAAGCACTTCAAGAAAATATCTTCTAACCTCATTTTTAACTTGCAACTTGATTATTTTAAATTTGGTTGAAGCATGCATCCTCGAAAAGTTAGCGTAAATCATCTTAACAACACATTTATATATTTATTGGATTTTTTCTCCAGTCTGCATCAACTACCTTTGCGCAGGACTCCATCCGGATCGATGAAGATCTCTTAGCTAACAATGGTAGGTCCTTGGAGACACTAGTTTGTGTTGGTATGCAACTAGGTGTCTGGACAAGGACATAGGCTGGCTATACATGAATTAATTGGCCCACATATCATTTGGTTTGATTTGATTTGATTTTCCTCTTGTTTCATGCATAAATAACTTTGTATAAAACCAACAATATATATCGTTGGTATACATTTGTACAATGACTTTAAGTTCAACACATTCCTTATTCAAAAACAAAAAGACTTTTTATTCGTTTTGATCCCTCACCTTCTCTCAATTTAAATCATCTTCATAATCCTGATTTAAGGAAGGAAAAAAGCCTACACTATAAAACGAAAGGGGCTTTAAATCAAGGAACAAAAATGAGGGTGGCAAAATTTATGAAAAAAAAAACTAAGAAGGAAATATAAAAGGAGTGAAACTTGGCTATGTTTTTCCTTTGTTATCTTTGACAACTTGGAGGACTTGCACTGGGCCTTCTCACGAATCGTCCCTGTTCCAATCCAAACACCAACCACAGAAAGTAGGTAACATTAATATTAGATTTAGTGTCTTAATCAAGATACAATGTATATCGATCTCTATCCAATTGAGTCTTTGACCCAATCTAAAAGTTATTACTTCCTTAGTTTATTTCCACTAATTATGGATATATATTATTTTTTCTAGTTTTAGATGATAACTGTTATATTAATCAATTCAGTTCACATTCTGGTTATGTTTGTTAGTTTGAAAAGACTAGTAGCTAGAAGTAAAAACAATATGGATTGGTTTGTAGAACAATTAAATGATATATATCATGGATGGGTAAAACCTACATGTTTTAACCACGCATTAAGGTGGGTGAAGATACCTTCACTCGAGGACGTTGATCAGCATTGACTTTTCGAACTTGATATCGAATTTTCTTGGAGAAAAGCCGAGTTTGACGTTTCTCTTTGTACCTCAAAACACTTGCTTCTCGCATTCCACTGTCTCCGAACAAATCAATCTGAGCTAATCTGGCCTGTCCCAAAAACCCCATGTTCCACATTAGTTTACATGGACACATTCTCGTGATTTATGTAAACCTCACAAACTAACATATACATATATATATATATATACATATATATGTATATTTTTTTCTTTTGTAAATTATATATATTTTTTATACTAAAAGGAGTATACAACTATAAGAAGGATATATACGAAACAAAATTTGAACCTCTCCAGTTTTTTTTAAAAAATTGATCCTCATCATTTATCTTCTACGTGAACATTCACGTGCAATGTCTAAAGTCCACTTGAACAAATAAAAAGAAATCTTCTTTTCTTAATTAATAAAAGTTGTTCTTTTCTTGAGACGATAAAAAAGAGCAAAAAGACTACTTACCAAAGTCAAAGGTTTAATTATTCATATTTTCATAAGTACGTTACGAAAAAGAACTTTTGCAGAAAACATTAATAAGTTCTTGTCAGAAATTTACATAATTTTGACCGCTAATAAACTATTACACTAATTGATTATTTTAAGAACATAAAAACAAAAGAAAAACACACTCCGTTCAGACACGACACTATAACCCTCACGTGGCATCACACTAGTAGTTCTAACAGAATTACGAATTATCGGTTACGATAATTTAATTAATTAATTATAAAACAAATATAGAAAAAAATCAAATATTCAAACGGCGAGAGAGAGAGAGAGAGAGGAAAGAAAGACATACATTGACGCCGTCGGCTCCGGTAGCTTCGGGGCTCAGACTCTCATCCCCAAACGGCGTCGCTTTATCAGACCAAGCTTCCAAAACGCCGTCGTAGTCGAGCCTCAACATCGGATGACCTTCTGATCTCTCCTCCGTAACTCCTTTACTCGTCTCTACTACGCTCTTTGATTCCGTCACTGCCGCGGTAACTTTCTTCTTCTTCTTCTTACTCTTCTTGACCTCCGTCTTCTTCACCTCATCGACGGTCTGAATTCGCGGAGAGATCTGATCGAAATCAACGGTGTGAAATGCATCGTTGTGTTGTCCTCCTCCTCCTCTGAGAGCATTTCTTAATCCAAGTCCCAGCGGGGGGAATTTGAATCCTTTATTCAGCATCATGATCTGCTCTAACCGGTTAATTCGACGGCCAGGATTGATCCCTGGAGCTTTGGCTTCAAGTTTCCCCATTATACTATCGATTCCCTCTTCAGTTTCCTCATCGAGAATTCGATACTCGGCGTCGAACTCATCGGAAAATTCAAACTGATTCACTTCAGATTCGTCACCGGTGATACTGACCCCGGAGTTTACCTCCTTTTGATCGGAGAAGAATTCAGACTTCACTTGTATCGTCGGGAGAAAGAGAAAGTCAGGCTCCTCGACTGATTCAAAGGGGAGAATCAGCTCAGCTTCGTCGTCAAATCCATAGAAATGATGAGTTTTCTTGTTGGTGTACAAGTGGTTGCATGAGAAGGAGGGAGAGAAGATGTTGGGATAAGCGGTCGAGAGAAGAGTCGCAGCTTCGTTGTAACTCTGGTTTGGTCGTTTTCGCTGCGTTCTTGGCTTTCGGGTTGAGATTGCGAGCGGGGAGTTGGATGATTCGGTGATTGTTGATGACGGCGATGTAGCTCTGGTGGTGGTTGAGCTTGACGGTGGTGATTTTATCTTTTCTAACTCGAAGCTGTATGCGGCGGCGGAGCCACCGCTGCTTAAGCAAGCCGACATTTCTTGTCCGAGTAAAAGAAAAAAAAAACCAAAACACTAACAATGTTTGTGTCCTGAAAATTAAAATTCTGATTTAATTTTTACGATAGTAAAACGTCTAAACCCCTCTGCAGAACCCTTTTATTTCACTGTAAAATTTGGAGAAATTAAAAAAGAAAAGGGGGTAAAAACGTTAGGAAAACAGAAAGAGGAAAGAAAGATTGTTACAACTGTACATCATCTACAAGAAGAAATAAACAATTGGAATCTGAGATTTTTGTGAAACCAAAGAAAACTGGCCAACGAGTGAAATTGTACAGAAGGAACTCGATTGGTTAGTACAGAGGGAGAGAGGGATTGGAGGAGGAACAAAGAGTCACGAGATATATAACAAGAGGAGATTAGGGTTTTAGAGAGAGAGGTTAATAAAACAAACAAAGCGGTCTGTAAATAAAATTGTGAAGATTAATCTCACTGAGAGAGAGAAAGTGGTGGAAGAAGAAGACGAGAGAGTGAATGGGAGCATATGGTGAAGAAGGACAAGATAGCTCGCAATCGGCCGTTCTGGACTGTATGGGGTCTGCTGCAGGATTTTTTTTTCCACTTTTGTAGATATACTTATATAACATATTAATATACGATATTTTTACCAAAAAATATATTAATATACGATATTTCTTATCCATGAATACTTCCATGATAATAGTTTATATATGTATATATATATATGTACAGTAAACTTTCAAAGTTTTATAAAATGGTGTTGCTAATGCTTATGCTTATCTACACACCATTTCCTCAAATCTTTTAAAACTGTAATAATCTTCATTGTGGATTTGTTTCCAAACAAAACATTTAATCTATTGATTAATTGAATACATTCTCTGCACCAATATCTATTAAATAAGAAACAAAAAATGCTAAATAAAGAAAAATAATAAAATTCCTGATACCATATGATTGTGTAAGGAAACTAGTTTACTGAGAAAAAATGAGACAAGGTCACCTTATCCATCGACGTGGATTAGTATCATTGGCTTTACTAGATTTCATGATGACGTGTTGTTTAACTGATTGTTGTCGCCTGGTCGGACAAGTTTTCACGGTTTTCTAAGAGAGTACACAAATTTGTGACCATTTTTGGTTTAAGGTTTTCGAATTTACTAATGTTTCATTAAGTACCCAGATTACTTACACTGATAATTATTTTCCAAGAAAACTTATATCGATAATTCTTATACATAATCTGTAAAAGATGATGTTTCAAATTTCGATGTATATATGCATGATATTTTTTTCTGAAAATGTATGTATGATAATTCTATTTTTTAGGCTAAATAATTTATATTCAATATACGTATGTGATTGCTTATATAACATTTTTAAAATTAATTTGGAACAGTCCAAAAAATACAGTTCACAAAGAAATCATTTTCTTGGATATTCAAATAGATTCTAAACAATGTAATCATATGGTATAATCATATGATATAATATAATAAAGTATTTTGAATATGAATTGTTTAACCATCTCAAATCCACCTACCACTAGACTATTATCATATAGTTTTATACAACATATTGCTCATGATCATTTTAACTTCAAATTTGCATTTGGTTTCTACAAAATAAACAACAACAATATAATGGTCTTCAAGTTTGAATCAGAACTTCAACTTAAGCTCTGATACCAATTCAAGTTTGGATCAATGCTTTAACATAAGCTCTGATACCAATTCAAATCTTTAGAAACAAAGAATTATAAGAACAACTTTTCTTATTAGTTTTAGAAACTACTCAAAACTAAAGCTCACAATGTTTCTCTTAGATCTCTTAATCTACTCTCTTAGATCTTATGGAACACCTCTCCATAGATCTCTATTTATATGCAAGATAATTCCCTTGAACATGTGGGATATGGAAAACACAAACCTAATCTAATAGAAAACTTCTTTTTCCTATTTCTAGATTTCCTTATTGTGTTTATCCTTAACATATTAAACATCCAATAATATGTTAAGTTTCCACAAGCTTGGAATTACCCAACAATCACCCCCTTAATTCCAACTTGAATTAGGGAGATCAATTTCTTGAACTCCGATTAAGCTCCTCATTTGCTTGAACTTAAACTTCAAGTAATCATCCATCACCACACGATAGTATGCGAATCCACCCATTGGATCCACATCTTTCTCAAGGTTAGATTGGATGTTCTCCTTGCTTTTGTACCGCCTCTTCTTAGAATTGGCCCAGTTCTTGTAGAACCTTCTCTTGACCTCTTCACTTAAGTTGCGATGAGTCTTGCAGCTGAAACTCGCTCTGGTCTCGTCCGCCATCTTGCGTACGTGAGTTGTGTTACACACTTCCGTCTTTGTGTCACATACGTGAGTTGTGTTACACGTCTCCATCTGTGTATCACATACCCCTGCATGAGTAGTGTTACACGTTTCCATCTTTGTGTTACACACCTCTGTATGTTTAACACCAGTCGGTCTAACCACATGCTCCACTGGTACATGTGTTGTGTTACACATTTCCATCTGTGTGTCACACATGATTCCTTGAGCATCTATCTCTGGTTCGTCTCCAGCTTTTGACAACTTGTAACTCGACTCCATTGGAACTTGAGTCGTGTTACACACTTCAATATCTGTGTCACGCCAAATTCCTTGAGCAGGACTCTCCTCCTTTATCTTGATTTCATCTGCTCCTTGAATCTTGTCGATCCACTTTAACCATGTAGGTTTAGCAGGCGGTCTATCTACAAGCTCCCACGTCTTGCTTCTTGTGATAGCTTCCATCTCGGCTACCATATCTTTAACCCATAAGTAGTTCGGCATCTTCAACTCAGCTGAGGTAAACTCTCCTCCTCTATCGATGCAGTCTAGATTGGATTTAGCTGAGGCAAACTCTCCTCCTCTATTGGTGAAACCTATATTGAACTTAGATGAGGCAAATCTCCTCCTCTATCGGCGAGAAAGGTTCTGATGGGTTCTTTCAACCTTTTGAACCGATAGAATACCTCATGCTTCTTCTTCAATAGTATAGCCGGGAATTCATGTCTAATTTGCTTCTCTGTTAGATATGTGTTACACACGCCTTCTTGGTGTGTTACACTCGGGAACGAGTGTCTGATCTGCTTCACTGCGTCACACATGCCTTCTTCGTGTGTTACACTCGGGAATGAGTGTCTGATCTGCTTCACTGTGTCACACATGCCTTCTTCGTGTGTTACACTCGACATTCTGTTGACTAACGTCTGAAGTCTCGCCCTCCTTACACGAACAGCTCCAAGGTGTCGTGACTTGATGGCGTTCCAAATGTCTTTGGAAGCGGCTTGTTCTCTCACCTGGAGAATCAAGCTTTTGGAAGCAACTTGTTCTCCCACCTGGAGAATCAAGTTTTCAGAAGTGGACTGAAACAAAAGAGAAATCGCAACATCGTTCTTCTTTTGATCATCTGAACCAGGTTCTATCGTGCCATGAACACGCATCATAACCTTCATCCTCATCGACAAAACGGTATAGTTTGACGATGATAACATAGGACATTGGATGGATGTAGTTCCAAGGTCCTTCGTGCGTGGAGCCCTAGTCACGTCCGCCATCTTGCTCGCGTGTACTCTTGGTCACAAGCACCAGGATCAAAGCTTCAGCTTAAGCTTAGATCGAGTCTCCAACCTGAGGAGCTCTGATACCAATTCAAGTTTGAATCAGAACTTCAACTTAAGCACTGATACCAATTCAAGTTTGGATCAATGCTTCAACATAAGTTCTGATACCAATTCAAATCTTTAGAAACAAAGAATTATAAGAACAACTTTTCTTATTAGCTTTAGAAACTACTCAAAACTAAAGCTCACAATGTTTCTCTTAGATCTCTTAATCTACTCTCTTAGATCTTATGGAACACCTCTCCATAGATCTCTATTTATATGCAAGATAATTCCCTTGAACATGTGGGATATGGAAAACACAAACCTAACCTAATAGAAAACTTCATTTTCCTATTTCTAGATTTCCTTATTGTGTTTATCCTTAACATATTAAACATCCAATAATATGTTAAGTTTCCACAAGCTTAGAATTACCCAACAAGTTTTAATATAATATTTACTTAGTCCCATGATAGAGTGTAATGGAGTGACTTTGAACATGAATTGTTTAACAATCCAAAATTCACATATCAGTAGACTATCATCACATAGTTTTATATAACATATTGCTCACGACATTTTTACTTCAAATTTGCATTTGGTTTCTACAAAATAAACAACAGCAAAATAATGGTCTTAGTATATATTCGTCAACACTTTGACATCGATAGTAAAACATTTGACGTACGTGTGGTTATATAGCTATGGCTAATTGGCTATATGAGTCTATGACTAGAAGCAAGCTTACAGTTTTGTCGTACTTATAATATATCGTTTAAAAATAATAATTACGTTTGTATTAATATATTTTCTTTTAAAAAGTGTGAAGAGAGGAAGTGGTGGGCTAGTGGATTGTGTATGTGAGAGGGAAAATGATTGGAACCTTTTTGGTACCATTTGAAGTAATTTGTGGCGAAATCTAAACCTACGTTTACCTCATTACGTTCAATGACTTCTGATTAGATATAAGATTTTCTACTTTTTATATATTTTTCTTTATTTTGTTAGGAAAATACATATCGATAATATATGTAGAGACAGCTATGACATCCACGAGTTATGTTATCCGTATATTATCAAAACCAACACTGTATTTAAACATTACGACTACACTATTACAAAACATCAAACATTACGACTACACTATTACAAAACATCCAATTTCTTTTGTTCTCAGTGGTGATCCATAAAATCTGCATTTGAGTTTTCAGTTTCGTAAATATAATTCGTACTAAAAAAAATCGATAATCATTTTAAAACTTTAAGCATGTATGTATGATTCTTACACATATAATCTGAATTTTATTTATTCAGGTATGATAAAGAGGGAGGGGGGAACAAAGTTCACAATATATAACAATTCCAA